AAAATGGACTTTATGAATTCACTCGTATGCCTTTTGGATCAAAAAATGCCCCCGCGACATTTCAAAGAATGACGGATAACGTACTACAAAACAAAATTTAATCTAAAAATTGTATTGGACAAAGCAGAATTCTTTATTTTACTTTTCTAAAGTAATGAACCTGCTAGATGATTCCAGAAGTTCTTCTCCTTTTGTATAATAAATCTCTGAAGCTTCTGATAATCTCAGCTATAAAGCCATATCTTATAGATTAATTAAGCAACTAACCAGATTATCTGTTTCAATTAACTTCTCATTATGGCTAGGATCGGAACGATAACGGCAACATTGCCAGTTAATTAACCTGGGGATTATTAGTCTGATACTCTCTCATATATAATCTGAGCCATAAGAGATAGTTGTATGTAAAATAATAATTTTTTCAAAATTCCCATTATTGAATCTACGCTTGTATGCATTACGGACTTTATGAATATGTGAGACGCATATATAATTTCCGGAAGGTGCCGTTTTGAATATTAAATTAACCGAATAAAGCCTCTATATCTGACTGAAAGATTAAAGGGAACGAGATAATTTCATTCCATTACAAATAGGATTTTTTTGTTTGATAAGATACAAGTTTCAAATGTAATGCCTTTTTCTATTGGAAAATGATGATAGAGTTGATTTCAATTATCGTGTATCGTGCTAATTTGCACAATTCAAATTCTGCACTTGTCATACATAATTGTGTTGCACGTAACGGGTTAATTTACGGCTCCATCACCAACGATTTAATATTAGCGTCAATCGGATGAGATTAAAGGATTTGCTGAAATTCGTCCTCTCGTCTCTAAGGGAAAATCAATAGAATTTTTTGGCTCCCAGTCAACAACTGAGAAATAACTAGGGCAATAGTATATCTTCCAGTGTCCGATGTTTATCTAAATAGCCTTTTCAATTCGAATCTATGAAGATAATATAATAGATACTGTGTAATATTTTGAAAGTGTGTGCAAAAATCTTGACTCATCATCCATCCACTCTCAAGTCAAAAAGGAAATTCCGACCCCCTAGAAAATATTTTCCGCAAATTACATTTTCCGGGCATTATTTACTGACATAAGGCCTCCCCTCGCTTTATAGAGGCGAGATTTTTTATTTCCGAAGACGACAATAACAGTGGCACGTTTTAATGGAGGGTGTCAACCCTCAATTGATCGGGAAGGAAGACTAATTTTTGGGGGGTGCGGAAATACGAGGAACTGTCAATTTTCAAGACAACATAAATATCAATATTTTGACCTTTGGCACATCGTCCCGTTATTCAAAATCGATCCCTCGCTCTCTGGATAGAGCGTTTTGGTATGCCAGACACAGAGAGAGAGCGAAGGGCTTTTAAGCAACCCATTAATTTCCCAGGAAAGGCGCAATTCCAGAACTATTTTCGGTGTGACAAAATCCTTGATTGATTGCAAACAATTGATGAGAATAGAAATATAAACGGCTTAAAACTTTAAGTAATTATTTCGTATTTTGGCTGGCATTAAATCCTAATTAGTTATCATCAATTAGAGGGAATTCTCGCTTCGGAAATGCGAAATTAACGTTGGCTTTTGCTGCAATTTCCTCAAAAGTAAATCGTAAATCGGATTAATTTGCAACTACATTAGAGGCTTTGAAGGAGATAAAATGGAAAATGAATCATGTTTGCAAGCAATTGGATTTTTTCCATATATTTTATTGAAAATCTTTGGATTTTCTCAATTTGAAAGTTAATTAGTATTGGGAATATTTTTTTGAGCTGATTTTTAATTTAAAATAAACCGCAACTCGCTAGCTTGAATCGTTCAAAAGTTATGACCATTTTAAAACGAGTGAAGACTAAAATCCTATGTTTGCTATTAGAAAACTCTCAAGCCTTGTACTTTTAACGATAGAGGCAAATTCCAAACAATTTCTTGAAGTATATTGATATATTTTGAGCTAATTTTTAATTTAAAATAAACCGCAACCCGCTAGCTTGAATCGTTCAAAAGTTATGACCATTTTAAAATGAGTGAAGACTAAAATCCTATGTTTGCTATTAGAAAACACTCAAGCCTTGTACTTCAAATGATAGAAGCAAATTCCAAACAATTTCTTGACGTATATTGATATATTTTTAGCTGATTTTTAATTTAAAATAAACCGCAACTCGCTAGCTTGAATCGTTCAACAGTTATGACCATTTTAAAACGAGTGAACACTAAAATCCTATGTTTGCTTTTAGAAAACACTCAAGCCTTGTACTTCAAATGATAGAAGCAAATTCCGAACAATTTCTTGACGTATATTGATATATTTTTAGATGATTTTTAATTTAAAATAAACCGCAACTCGCTAGCTTGAATCGTTCAAAAGTTATGACCATTTTAAAACGAGTGAAGACTAAAATCCTATGTTTGCTATTAGAAAACACTCAAGCCTTATACTTCAAACGATAGAAGCAAATTCCAAACAATTTCTTGACGTATATTGATATATTTTGAGCTGATTTTTAATTTAAAATAAACCGCAACTCGCTAGCTTGAATCTTTCAAAAGTTATGACCATTTTAAAACGAGTGAAAACTAAAATCCTATGTTTGCTATTAGAAAACACTCAAGCCTTGTACTTCAAACGATAGAAGCAAATTCCAAACAATTTCTTGACGTATATTCATATATTTTGAGCTGATTTTTAATTTAAAATAAACCGCAACTCGCCAGCTTAAATCGTTCAAAAGTTATGACCATTTTAAAACGAGTGAAGACTAAAATCTTATGTTTGCCATTAGAAAACTTTCAAGCCTTCTACTTCAAACGATACAAGCAAATTCCAAACAATTTCATGACGTATATTGATATATTTTTAGCTGATTTTTAATTTAAAATAAACCGCAACTCACTAGCTTGAATCGTTCAAAAGTTATGACCATTTTAAAACGAGTGAAGACTAAAATCCTATGTTTGCCATGCGGTTTTTGGAGTGAATGACGAAGTATATCAAGATATCGAGGCAATGAACATTAATCAGGAAGAACTCATCAGAGCATCGAACAAAATTCAGAAGCCAGAATCACGAACAAACTGCAACATTTCCAGAAACGACTTAACGAAGGAATAGAAGCTATTAACAGCATGCAGAGTTGGTACAAGCAAATAGACACTAATGCCCTTAACGTTCACCTATTGAGTGCATACCAAGTAGCTACCAACTTCATCAGAAAAAAAAATGAACACTATAATAAATTGCTGAACATCAACTTCAATAGGGGTACGATATATGACCAAGTTTCAACAGTTAATTGACCGATTTCTCTAATACTCCCAACCCTATTAAAAATTTCAGTTCAATTTTGGTAAAAGTGTAAGGGACAAGCGATTGTATCTGTGCGGCTTTTGACGAATCCATCCGCAAACTAATTACACCGAAGAGGCGTGTTAAAAGGTCGATATCAAAGCCCTCTATGCTTCTGGCCGGACCTTAAAACCCTGGAAAAACGACCAGATTTTATATGTACGTAAACCAGGGCAAAAGGACAGGGATTCTAATTAACTTGAGTTTCATTTATCCCTTTGAGAAATTTGGAATCAAGGGCTGATTGCCCACTAACCTATCATTTCTTCTCATGTTGAATTTCTTCTCACTCGTTTACAAATGACAACAAATCGTCTTAGTGAAACCAAAACTTTTAATAATCTTAATCGAAATCATCCCCTTCTTTTAGACAAAAAAAAATCCTTGAAGGGGTTGATTTACGTTCCGACAGCGATAAGGCACCCATTGTCCAATGTCCAGCGTATATATAGGGGTTGGAATAGCTTTCGAATTTATCACAGTCGCTGGGTGATTATGCCCGAATGCGTGTCTAGTAGACTGTACAACCGCAAAACACGCCATCATCTCGGTTTTGGTCCGAAATGATAACAAACCGCCAACAATCCGAGATTAGGAAAGGGGGGGATTTGTGACATCATAATCTGACTTGCAAATTAAGCAAATAGTTTATTACATTTTCATTTAAAAAGTTTTCTAATAATTTCAAACACAAATAAACAGAAACAGAAGAAAGTTTTAAAAAATGGCTCTCAGGACTCTCGAGGGCTAAAAGAATTTCCCAACTGTGAAATCTTCGAGATATATTCGCGCTTTATATAAAAGATATCCGAGGAAATATATTGTTCTCTTGTGCAGCGCTTTTCCGGATATTACTATTATTATGATGGTCATTTTCCAGGGAATACATTTTCTGGTCGACCTAGTTTTGTTTAGAAGAAAATTATATTAAAAAAAAATATATTTAGGTATTCGACACAAAACCTGGACAATAAAAACATCGTAAAAGCACAGAGAAGAATCCAATTCATATTTAAATGCGCCCCATGAAAAGTAGGGAATAGAAAGAAATAAAATTCAGTTATTCTGACTTTGCGTCGCCCCGAAATACATGAAAACTGACGTGAAGAACGTTTTATTATTCAAGAGGAGCCCCGAACATACAAACATTTATTTTAGTTTTAATTTTACATAAATGCACACTTCTTATTACACTATTCAAATGGATACGATACACATTTTATTAGAATTACAGGAAATCAGCCAAATGTTTGTCTTTGCTAGTTGAAGCCTGGATCAACTTCACGGAGTCGCTCTTATCGATGTTTAATATGCATGAAATGACTCTAAATATTTTGATATGTTGTCAGAGAAAATTCTAGAGCAAAAGTAATCACGTACATCGTACCCTTTTTTTTCTATTTAGAGCCTCTATATTTGATCAATAAAAACGAAAGAGCGAGCGAGACACCGTTTCGGAAATGAGGAGACTCGCTCTCGTGACACGCGAGCGATAATTCCGAGAGGGCCCTTGATTTGCGTCAGCATTTCCTCGACAACCCGACCCGTAAATCTAAACACTTTTATACTGACGACACGCTTTTTCGTTTAATTGAGTTTTTGATTACATTTACACAAAATTCTTTAAAAATTTTCAGGCGTTAGAACCAAACAATCTTGGATCAACAACAGGGGGTGCAGTGTCTCATTTCGAACCGCAAGTGGCCATCCTGTGCGATGCTGGGCCTCGCGGGCAAGAAGCTTATCAGCCCAAATACATGACGGAAGAAGGCGAATGGGCCTCCGATCTCAGGTCGAAAGCAGCTTGTCTCAAAGACAAAATGGACATTTTGAATTACTGCAAAATGGTAAGTTGTATATTACTTGAAAAACCACACGTGTGCCTGGTTTTGCTTGAAAATACATAAACTAGGTCAGCTTGATTAAAAAAAAAAAAGCACTTTTATTTTTGAATTTATAAAGGTATTTTTTCGTTTAGTTTACGTATTAACGTGTGCTAAAAGGGGCCTTTTTGAAATCCCCCGAGCGAATCAAACATTCCGGGTGGTAGAATTAACTTTCGAGTTCGTCTCTAATTTAACAGGCAACAACAATAAATTTCGGCTTGAATTAATTAATCCGCCACATTAAATAACCGGGGAAAAACTGTGCGAAATTGAGTTTTGTAGATTGTGAAGCATTTCGAGTTTAAAGAGAGTTTCTATTTCATAAATCCGTAAGATAGGCCATCCACTCATTTGGAGCTTTCAGGACCAGATCGAATCTTTCCGGCTCTTTCACAAAAGGGGCTCGAACTACTGATTCCGCACCTAATACGTCTCGCTTCGCATATGGTCAAGTACCACACTCATACCAAAAGTACCACACTCGTAGTTTATTCTTAAAAAGTGTCATACAGATTCCTGCCAAAGCGTGCATCGTTTTCCTATCAAATATTTCTATTAAATGCAGTGGTTTCTAGTGTCTGAAGTCCTGTCCACTACCGTTCATTCCAAAGCCAGGATAGCTTCTTTCTTCCTATTCGCATCCTTCCTCCTTCAATTTTGCCTTGTTCATTCTCCGCGTATTATGTGTTGCAGATAAGGTATTTGTCTGCGCTTTATGGACCATTTTTTACTAGTGTAAAAGAAATTGGAACAGCTTTAACAAACAACCAAGGAAATATTGATGCTTATGGATTAAAGAAGAGATTTGAAATGAGATCCGTAAAACCAAGGAACAATGGTTACAAGAAAGGTGCACAGAACTGGAAGAATCGCAGGAGAAGCACGACCACTTTAACACGCATAAATTAGTGGAAAAAGCTACAGGCCGAATAAAACCTGGCAATTTGAGTAATATAGTGAAGGACAATAGTATCATCTCTTTTGCCATTGGAAGAACTACACGCAACAATTTTATGCGGAGAATACTAGAAGAGATTTCATTGAAAAATATGAAGCCCCCTAGAAAAATACTGAAATCCTCAAGGCAATTAAACAAAGCAGCAGGACCAGACGATGAATAGAGATAACAAAGCTGCTGAATGTCGAGAATTTAGACTCCCTGGTGGAGATATTCAACTGTCAAAGTTTTGACTTTCGGTCCCGGTACATAGCCCAAACGGCTGGGAGTGGAAAGTTGAAATTTTGTAGGGTTGTCGACAAAAAGTTGCTCTATCGGATGAGGTGGGAGGAATTTTTGATTTTTTTTTCCAAGTTTCAGCCTTCTCTGACCTACCGCAAGGTTTTTACCTCCTATACCCCCAATTATCCGAATGCCTTAATATGTGTGTTTTCAAATTGCCTTTTCACATTCAAAAGTATAAATATCCGAATGTGTTAGTTTGTGATTCGTTAAAACGTTTTTTCGTTCAAATTTTGCTTTGCAAGTGTCACATTCAAAAGGATAAATATCCTAGTGTTTCAGTTGGTGCCTCTTCAATTCAATCTCTCGTTTAAATTTTGCTCTGCAAGTGTCACATTCAAAAGGATAAATATCCGAATGTGTTAGTTTGTGATCCTTCAAAACGTCTTTTTGTTTAAATTTTGCTCTGCAAGTGTCACATTCAAAAGAATAAACATCTGAATGTGTTAGTTTGTGATTCACTAAAGAGCTTTTTTGTTTAAATTTTGCTCTGCAAGTTCCACATTTGAAAGGATAAATATTCGAATGTGTATAGTTTGTGTTTCTTCAGTTCGGTTTCTCGTTTAAATTTGGCTCTGCAAGTGTCACATTCAAAAGGATAAATATTCGAATGTATCAGTTTATGACCTTTCAAATTGCGTCAAAAGCTCCTCCGTTCGTTGCCTGCACCATGGAGCTCCTCTATCTAGGAAGCAAAGCTTCGCGAGGGGTCCCTAAAAAAATTCTTAGACTTTTTTTCCTTTTTTTTTTGGGATGAAGTTGTTTTTTTGGCCCACACCCCCTTTAATCAACCCATTGCGGATGCATTCAAAATTTCTATATTGCCTTTTTGTCTAAATTTTAAATTACAAATGTCACATTCAAAGGATAAATATCCGAGTGTGTCAATTTGTGATTCTTCAAAACGTCTTTTTGTTTAAATTTTGCTTTGCAAGTGTCACATTCAAAAGACTAAACATCTGAATGTGTTAGTTTGTGATTCACTAAAGAGCTTTTTTGTTTAAATTTTGCTTTGCAAGTTCCACATTTGAAGGGATAAATATCCGAATGTGTTAGTTTGTGTTTATTCAGTTCGGTTACTCGTTTAAATTTGGCTCTGCAAGTGTCACATACAAAAGGATAAATATTCGAATGTATCAGTTTATGACCTTTCAAATTGCGGCAAAAGCTCCTCCATCAGCCCGGAGGGCGTTGCCTGCACCATGGAGCTCCTCTATCTAGGAAGCAAAGCTTCGCGAGGGGTCCCTAAAAAAATTCTTAGACTTTTTTTCCTTTTTTTTTTTGGGATGAAGTTGTTTTTTTGGCCCACACCCCCTTTAATCAACCCATTGCGGATGGATTCAAAATTTCCATATTGCCTTTTTGTCTAAATTTTACTTTACAAATGTCACATTCAAAGGATAAATATCCGAGTGTGTCAATTTGTGATTTTTTCAAATCGCCTTTTTGTTTAAATTTTGCTTTGCAAGTGTCACATTCAAAAGAATAAACATCTGAATGTGTAAGTTTGTGATTCTCCAAAGAGCTTTTTTTGTTTAAATTTTGCTTTGCAAGTTCCACATTTGAAAGGATAAATATTCGAATGTGTTAGTTTGTGTTTCTTCAGTTCGGTTTCTCGTTTAAATTTGGCTCTGCAAGTGTTACATTCAAAAGGATAAATATTCGAATGTATCACTTTATGACTTTTCAAATTGCGTCGAAAGCTCCTGCATTAGCTCGGAGGGCGTTGTCTGCTCCATGGAGCTCCTCTATCTAGGAAGCAAAGCTTCGCGAGGGGCCCACACCCCCTTCAATCAACCCATTGCGGATGCTATATGAACATTCAAAATTTCCATATTGTCTTTTTGTCTAAATTTTACTTTACAAATGTCACATTCAAAGGATAAATATCCGAGTGTGTCAGTTTGTGATTTTTCAAATCGCCTTTTTGTTTAAATTTTGCTTTGCAAGTGTCGCATTCAAAAGTATAAATATCCGAATGTGTCAGTTTGCAACTTCTCAAATTGTCTTTTCGTTTAAATTTTGCTTTGCAAGTGTCACATTCAAAACTATGAATGTGTTATTTTGTGATTCGTCAAAGCGCTTTTTGGTTTAAATTTTGCTTTGCAAGTATCACATTCAGAAGGACGAATATCCGAATGTGTTAGTTTGTGATTTATTGACAATGGTGTCTAGTGATAGTGATGGTTCAACTAATTTTACTAGAGTTAGTAAAGGCTTAGCAGTTTCAGAAATCTAATGACCAGATTTACCGTATTTTAGACCCGAACATTATAATTCCTGCAAATGTGTAAGTCATGTTGAACATATTAAAAATGAAATTGGATTGTCGGATGTACAAATTTTGACAAAAATTGGTCGCTTTTTGTTAAATGATTCTAAAAGATGGTTTGAACGATGAGATCCAGAAAACTTTGTGGAAGCTTTCCCTTCAGAAAAAAAAATCTAGGGCGATTGTTAGAAGACACAGTTAAGTTCGCTAGTTTGAATGTAAACACTTAGGCGGGTGACACACTGGAAAAATAAGTTTCATAATACTTGTTGCAAGAAACAGGAAATTTGTTTCATTATCACACAACACATACAATCAAATGAGGAGGCGCACAATGGCGTGCTGTGTTTCGCGTTTATTTGTTTCAGAAATTCATTCCATAGTGAATCCCCATTTGCCAGTCCCATCCTACTGGTAAGAAAGAAAAATGGCGCTTACCGCATGTGTGTAGACTTCCGAGAACTCAATTGAATGACTATAGAAGACAGATGCCACTTATCAAGGACCAATTGAAAAGGTTAGGACAGGGTCGGTATTTCACATCGTTAGATATGGCTTCGGGGTTCCAAAAAATACCAATCTATGAAGAATCGATCCAGAAAACAGCTTTCATCACTTCGAATATTTAAGGATGCCTTTTGGCCTTGCTAATGCCCCTGTCGTATTCCAGAGAGCCGTTAACCTTGCTTTCGGAAAATTGAAAGATTCTGTCGCTTTAGTCTACATGGAGAGTCACGAATAACGATTGGGCCTATATGGAATAAAAAGGTAGCGAAAAAAATACAAAACCTAATACAACAGCTTAGAAATGGCGACTTCGACTCAAATCAGTACTTTGAAAAGGAGGGCATGCTGTATCATAAGCATTCTAACCCTGACTGAGAAACAAACATACAGTGGTTTGTTCCTAGACTGAGTCGCTCGGCTCTCCATCGAATTTTCCATGATGACCAATGCCATGTTGGTTATCAACGGACTTATGATTCGATCTCTCGCATATAAGTGTTTGTCAAACGATACACTAAGCATTGTGTTGTATGTGCAGCCAAGAAAACAAGAACTCGACCATTCCAGGGTTTCATAAATCCAGTGGAAAAGCTAAAAGAACCATTCCATACTTTACTTGGTTTCAAGCATATACCTACTCGTTATTGTTGCAAATACTGCCTATTGTTACCCCTGTGAAATGCGTGAAAAATTGCAAAACGTCTTAGCGTTGTTTGGAACACCAATGAAAATCATCATGGATTGTGGCATATGATTTAAGAATACAAGGTTCCCAAAATACTTGGAGCAATGGAACATTGAACACCACTTCATCACACCTGATGTTCATAGGCAGGCAAAATACAGCTGGTTCTAAATACTAAAACGCAAAAATCTACAAATACGACTCCATTGCAACTTTTGTTGAGAATTCAACGTTCAACACCTTTTGATTCAAGCTTTATTGAAAAATTTGTCGAAAGACTTGACACCAGTTCGCAATCGTAGTTTGGAGAGACCGCGTGTAGCTAACAAGCTTGCTTCAACTTCAGTTTTGGGTACCGGGAACCCCCACAATCTACAATCTTTGTGCTGCCTGTAAAGGCTCCCCTTTCAAATCAATCAATCAATTAGATTAACTAAAAATCCAATCAAGTGCCGGGAATAGACAAAAATTGACTTTTGAATCAAATCAAACCGAACAATATTCACAAATCATCATCAAAAATAATGTAACTTTACATCAAAAATTTCCTAAGATTTTTCAACAAAACATCAATATTGAAGTTGTCGCCACTGAAATTCGGGAATTAACAAAAGTGAAACACGTGTATGTGATGTATCTCTAGCAATAATGTAAAATGGAATTCGGGGAATTTTCACTCGGAATTACAGTGCGGCAGATTAATTAATTCTAAAATTTATAGATTTTGGTATACAAAACTGGCAAAATGACAATTTCCAAGCTCAAAATTTCTAGAAAGATATCGAGGAAACAAATTTTACATTTAACTGACATCGAATTTCCATAAAATTTTATCGCTGAAAGCGTTGCACACGTGCAATTGAATCACAAGCCACTTCACACATTTTATTCAATAGAAATCTATCAATCATTTTTAATTAAAACTCTAATTCCAATAACATTTACACACAAGATTGTATCAATTTTGGCACCATCAGGCGCAAACCAACAAAATTTTTCCCTTTCATCAATCACTCGCAAGAGTTTGCAAAACCGCATTTCGGGGAAAACCATTTTCATTTTTTTTTCCCTCTCTTTCGCTTTATTACCCCCGTTCCAAAACGATCCCGGGCTCTGAGGGTCATTAGGGAAGTTTAACTTTTAAACGCGCATAATGGAACTTCTCTAGTATAAGCGATTTTAATTTTTCAGCTTGCAGAAAAAACAAATTCGCCAATAAAACTTTTTTACACACACACACATAAAGTAAGACAGTTTCTCTTGTTCGAATGGAGGCAAAGTAACTCCGTAATATAAAAGTAGACGCTTTTGAAATTTTAAAAGGTTTTTGGGAAAGCCTGACTTGAATAAACTTTAAGCGTTTTCGATTGGAGAAGGTGACAGTTCAGGGAGCTAAATAAATTGCATTTGAAACCAAGCAAACTAGTGGTAAATTAGACGAACGGGAATAAATTCACGAGGTTTTAGAACTTTGGTAATTGAATTTAATTCGCATCCACCGTGTCATAATAATTTGATACAAGAATAAATTAATTTTATAAAACTCTTTGCCTAAATCGGTTTGTAAAATAATTTGATGATTTTGTTCCAGGTATATCCGAAGAGGGACATAACCAACATTGTAGAAAGCAGCCACTACCTGAAAATAGCTTCGTGGTGTAGAGCGGGAGCCACTCCGGGTTCACAGTCCAGGGGCAAGTGCAAAACCGCCCGATGGGTCAAACCGTTCCGATGTTTAGGTGAGTTTTTATCAAGACATTAGGTTTTTTGTAAAATTAAATAAACTAAGTGCGGTGTCACGCAACTTCCCTAATAATTATCTCACAAATTGGCGCCCAACGTGGAGCCACGGTGAATTTCAAGACAAAAACAAAAAATCCTTGTAAAAAAATTCCCTAATCCCCACGCCACTGATCGGCTAGTCCCCTGTATGATGTCAACCTGATATACGAGATGTCAACGTCGATAGTACAATAACGCAAATTTCATTTCGTTTTCTTTGTTAATACAAGACCAATATACAGTAATCAGTTTTCTCTATCGGTTCTCGTTTAATTCTTCCCATTTACTCAACTTCCCTAGTAATTATCTCACAAATTGGCGCCCAACGTGAGGCCACGGTAAATTTCAAGACTGGTAGAGTGATTATTGTGTGCCGATCGCGATTGTCGTCAGACCATAATTTGTATTGTAAAAATATCACTTAGTGTCTCTGGGATGAAAAAATCGTAACTCCGCTATCTTCGGTGTTTTTTCAATAACATTTTTGTATGTTAAAGCTAAAAGGCTTCTGGATATATAAAAAAATTCTTCATTCTCTAAACCTTCCCAAATTTCCAGATACGAGATGTCAATGTTGATAGTACAATAACGCAAATTTCATTTCGTTTTCTCTATATACAGTAATCAGTTTTCTCTATCGGTTCTCGTTCAATTCTTCCCGTGTACTCAACTTCCCTAATAATTATCTCACAAATTGGCGCCCAACGTGGGGCCACGGTGAATTTCAAGACTGGTAGAGTGATTATTGTGTGCCGATCGCGATTGTCGTCAGACCATAATTTGTATTGTAAAAATATCACGTAGTGTCTCTTTGGGATTAAAAAATCTTAACTCCACTATCTTCGGTGTTTCTTCAATGAAATTTTGGTATGTTAAAGCTGAAAGACTTCTGGACATATAAAAAAAATTCTTCATTCTCTAAACTTTCCCAAATTTCCAGATGAGATGTCAATGTTGATAGTACAATAATGCAAATTTCATTTCGTTTTCTCTATATACATTATTCAGTTTTCTCTATCGGTTCTCGTTTAATTCTTTCCGTGTACTCAACTTCCCTAATAATTATCTCACAAATTGGCGCCCAACGTGGGGCCACGGTGAATTTCAAGACTGGTAGAGTGATTATTGTGTGCCGAACGCGATTTTCGTCAGGCCATAATTTGTAATGTAAAAATATTACTTGGTGTCTCTTTGGGATTAAAAAATCTTAACTCCGCTATCTTCGGTGTTTCTTCAATGAAATTTTGGTATTTTGAAGCTGAAAGACTTCTGGATATATAAAAAAATTATTCATTCTCTAAACTTTCCCAAATATCCAGATACGAGATGTCAATGTTGATAGTACAATAACGCAAATTTCATTTCGTTTTCTCTATATAGAGTAATCAGTTTTCTCTATCGGTTCTCGTTCAATTCTTCCCGTGTACTCAACTTCCCTAATAATTATCTCACAAATTGGCGCCCAACGTGGGGCCACGGTGAATTTCAAGACTGGTAGAGTGATTATTGTGTGCCGATCGCGATTGTCGTCAGACCATAATTTGTATTGTAAAAATATCACGTAGTGTCTCTTTGGGATTAAAAAATCTTAACTCCACTATCTTCGGTGTTTCTTCAATGAAATTTTGGTATGTTAAAGCTGAAAGACTTCTGGACATATAAAAAAAATTCTTCATTCTCTAAACTTTCCCAAATTTCCAGATGAGATGTCAATGTTGATAGTACAATAATGCAAATTTCATTTCGTTTTCTCTATATACATTATTCAGTTTTCTCTATCGGTTCTCGTTTAATTCTTTCCGTGTACTCAACTTCCCTAATAATTATCTCACAAATTGGCGCCCAACGTGGGGCCACGGTGAATTTCAAGACTGGTAGAGTGATTATTGTGTGCCGAACGCGATTTTCGTCAGGCCATAATTTGTAATGTAAAAATATTACTTGGTGTCTCTTTGGGATTAAAAAATCTTAACTCCGCTATCTTCGGTGTTTCTTCAATGAAATTTTGGTATTTTGAAGCTGAAAGACTTCTGGATATATAAAAAAATTATTCATTCTCTAAACTTTCCCAAATATCCAGATACGAGATGTCAATGTTGATAGTACAATAACGCAAATTTCATTTCGTTTTCTCTATATAGAGTAATCAGTTTTCTCTATCGGTTCTCGTTCAATTCTTCCCGTGTACTCAACTTCCCTAATAATTATCTCACAAATTGGCGCCCAACGTGGGGCCACGGTGAATTTCAAGACTGGTAGAGTGATTATTGTGTGCCGATCGCGATTGTCGTCAGACCATAATTTGTATTGTAAAAATATCACGTAGTGTCTCTTTGGGATTAAAAAATCGTAACTCCGCTATCTTCGGTGTTTTTTCAATGAAATTTTGGTATGTAAAAGCTGAAAGACTTCTGGACATATAAAAAAAATTCTTCATTCTCTAAACTTTCCCAAATTTCCAGATGAGATGTCAATGTTGATAATACAATAATGCAAATTTCATTTCGTTTTCTCTATATACATTATTCAGTTTTCTCTATCGGTTCTCGTTTAATTCTTTCCGTGTACTCAACTTCCCTAATAATTATCTCACAAATTGGCGCCCAACGTGGGGCCACGGTGAATTTCAAGACTGGTAGAGTGATTATTGTGTGCCGAACGCGATTTTCGTCAGGCCATAATTTGTAATGTAAAAATATCACTTAGTGTCTCTTTGGGATTAAAAAATCTTAACTCCGCTATCTTCGGTGTTTCTTCAATGAAATTTTGGTATTTTGAAGCTGAAAGACTTCTGGATATATAAAAAAATTATTCATTCTCTAAACTTTCCCAAATATCCAGATACGAGATGTCAATGTTGATAGTACAATAACGCAAATTTCATTTCGTTTTCTCTATATAGAGTAATCAGTTTTCTCTATCGGTTCTCGTTCAATTCTTCCCGTGTACTCAACTTCCCTAATAATTATCTCACAAATTGGCGCCCAACGTGGGGCCACGGTGAATTTCAAGACTGGTAGAGTGATTATTGTGTGCCGATCGCGATTGTCGTCAGACCATAATTTGTATTGTAAAAATATCACGTAGTGTCTCTTTGGGATTAAAAAATCGTAACTCCGCTATCTTCGGTGTTTTTTCAATGAAATTTTGGTATGTAAAAGCTGAAAGACTTCTGGACATATAAAAAAAATTCTTCATTCTCTAAACTTTCCCAAATTTCCAGATGAGATGTCAATGTTGATAATACAATAATGCAAATTTCATTTCGTTTTCTCTATATACATTATTCAGTTTTCTCTATCGGTTCTCGTTTAATTCTTTCCGTGTACTCAACTTCCCTAATAATTATCTCACAAATTGGCGCCCAACGTGGGGCCACGGTGAATTTCAAGACTGGTAGAGTGATTATTGTGTGCCGAACGCGATTTTCGTCAGGCCATAATTTGTAATGTAAAAATATCACTTAGTGTCTCTTTGGGATTAAAAAATCTTAACTCCGCTATCTTCGGTTTTTCTTCAATGAAATTTTGGTATTTTGAAGCTGAAAGACTTCTGGATATATAAAAAAATTATTCATTCTCTAAACTTTCCCAAATATCCAGATACGAGATGTCAATGTTGATAGTACAATAACGCAAATTTCATTTCGTTTTCTCTATATAGAGTAATCAGTTTTCTCTATCGGTTCTCGTTCAATTCTTCCCGTGTACTCAACTTCCCTAATAATTATCTCACAAATTGGCGCCCAACGTGGGGCCACGGTGAATTTCAAGACTGGTAGAGTGATTATTGTGTGCCGATCGCGATTGTCGTCAGACCATAATTTGTATTGTAAAAATATCACGTAGTGTCTCTTTGGGATTAAAAAATCTTAACTCCACTATCTTCGGTGTTTCTTCAATGAAATTTTGGTATGTAAAAGCTGAAACACTTCTGGACATATAAAAAAAATTCTTCATTCTCTAAACTTTCCCAAATTTCCAGATGAGATGTCAATGTTGATAGTACAATAATGCAAATTTCATTTCGTTTTCTCTATATACATTATTCAGTTTTCTCTATCGGTTCTCGTTTAATTCTTTCCGTGTACTCAACTTCCCTAATAATTATCTCACAAATTGGCGCCCAACGTGGGGCCACGGTGAATTTCAAGACTGGTAGAGTGATTATTGTGTGCCGAACGCGATTTTCGTCAGACCATAATTTGTATTGTAAAAATATCACTTAGTGTCTCTTTGGGATTAAAAAATCTTAACTCCGCTATCTTCGGTGTTTCTTCAATGAAATTTTGGTATTTTGAAGCTGAAAGACTTCTGGATATATAAAAAAATTATTCATTCTCTAAACTTTCCCAAATATCCAGATACGAGATGTCAATGTTGATAGTACAATAACGCAAATTTCATTTCGTTTTCTCTATATACATTATTCAGTTTTCTCTATCAGTTCTCGTTTAATTCTTTCCGTGTACTCAACTTCCCTAATAATTATCTCACAAATTGGCGCCCAACGTGGGGCCACGGTGAATTTCAAGACTGGTAGGGTGATTATTGTGTGCCGAACGCGATTGTCGTCAGGCCATAATTTGTATTGTAAAAATATCACGTAGTGTCTCTTTGGGATTAAAAAATCGTAACTCCCCTATCTTCGGTGTTTTTTCAATGAAATTTTGGTATGTTAAAGCTAAAAGACTTCTAAATATATAAAAAAAATCTTCATTTCACTTAATTATTCGCCCCATATGCAAAATAAATTTATAATCCGCTTAAACGCCGGCCCTTACTATTTATCTTTACGTCCAATTTTCACTTAACCGCACAAAACGGCGAGAGCTTAATTTTAATAATCCGAAATTTTCCACCTATCGGGCTTAACTTCTGCAACTCGCATGATAAATCGTTGAAATTTTAATGGGCACAGTTGAGAATTTAAAGCTGTTCTGGATTATATAGTTAATTAAAGTTTCTTGCCAATGAAATGCAAACAATATTGTCTATATTACTCTTTGAAAAGTTGCTGGTGCGTTCTATAATCCAAAAGGTATTCTATTAAATACGTTATGTCCATTTTCAACTTCAAATATATTAAATTTATAAAGGTATTAGGGAGTCACTGGACCGGGGATCAATAAAAGGAGTGATAAATGCAGCCATTACCAGTTTTGACCGACCCATAAACTAGCTTGCATTGCACTAGTCCCGTTTTTCGAATGATTGCACCAATCTGTTTCGTTTTTTTCAGCCATCCTTTACTGGGCAAAAAAAATCGCCTGTATTGGCAAATGGAAAAAAAGGAATGTTTTAATAATTGAAGAATTCGAATTATTTATTTTGTATAGAGGAAGTTTCCTTAGGATTGAGACGTTTTCTGAAAAGGCAAAAACATATTTCTGAAGAATTCTTTTGCAGCGGCGAAAAGTGCAAACAACAAAAATCCCGTCCGCAAAGAAGAAACTTCGCGGCGGTGCTTTGCATATTATATACGCGGGCTCAAAATTCATATTCTGAAACTTTGAGGAGTCGACAACACACACACACACACACACACAGACACAGAATTTGTTTGCCAAAGATAGTCTCTTTTCGGCATATGCACATGTTTGAAAAACCGAGCCTGCATATGAAAAATTTATATGTATGTTGTTTGAGACTAAGTAATCTTATTAAATTCCCCCAAACCAACCAAATGACATTAATAAAGTTCATTTTCCACGTCTATGAATGCGCCTTTATTAAATTCTAATGACAAAGTTAATTGTTTCAAATTATTCATTTTCAATTTCAGAAGGTCCGTTCCAATCCGACGCCCTCCTGGTACCGGAAAACTGCATGTTCGACCACATTCACAACCAAAGCAATTGTTGGACTTTTGGTAGATGGAACGCAACAGCAGGAAACGCTTGTCAGGAAAAAGGGCTGCAGCTCAGATCGTTCGCCATGCTTTTGCCTTGCGGAATTTCGCTGTTCAGTGGAGTGGAGTTTGTTTGTTGTCCGAAACATTTTAAAGGTAAGGAAACTTCAGGGATGTTTTTGGTACATCCCTGTGCCCTGAGTCATTTGTTGTAGGGGGATATTTGAAAATAAGGGAAATTGGACATTATAATTTTAGGTTTTGACACAAAAAATTCAAAATTTATTATTTAGTTTGAAGTGATTTGCAAACCTGAAAAATTGCAACTTTGTCAATGTTTCGGTGTCAATCTTATAGTTTAAACAAATTTGACCAAACCTAGACATTTGAAATAACAAGTTAACCAGAAGAAATCAACAACGTTTAAGGGTATAGGATTACTTTAATGCTTATTTTGCTAACAAGTGCGCAAAGTGATACTTTGTCGCATACAAAACACGTAAAAAGGTATAGTAAATCAAAAATGTACTCATTTGCGTGCCGCAAAGTATTAATTAATGCAGAAAAAGGCTACTTTGCACATGTAAATGAAAGTTTTGGAAAACTTTCAATCACAAAATCACTGATAACTTGGTTAATATTCTACCAATTCTAATGTGTAATCAATGATTTTTAATTAAAATTGAATTCTCTATAAGATAAAATAGGTTTGACCAGTTTTCGAAATTTCTAAGATTTCTCTTTTGCTTCCAGAAAACGTCAAACCCAAGAAGCCAATTGACCTGACTATCCTCAAAAAAGAACAAGACGTATTCTCTGACACCATAGACGAAGGTGATGATGAATCAGACGAAGACGACGAAAATGATGATTTAGATGATTTGGTCGACGACACTGAACTATCTGATGAGCCTACTATCGATGACGATGAAGAAGATGATGAAGATGACGATGACTATGATGACACTGATTGGGACACTACTCCACAAAGCACCACTACAGGTTTCAAGCTAAGCACATCCACAACAACATCCTCAACAACCACAACCACTGAAAAACCCACAACAGAAGCAACTCCCGATCCATACTTCACCCATTTCGATCCCAGAAACGAACACCAAAGCTACAAAGAGGCTCAAGAACGTCTAGAAGAAACTCACCGAGAAAAAGTCACCAGAGTGATGAAAGACTGGTCAGATTTAGAAGAACGATATCAAGACATGCGATCAAGCGATCCCAGAGGAGCTGACGAATTCAAACAAAGAATGACCCAAAGGTTCCAGACCACTGTGCAAGCTTTAGAGGAGGAAGGCGACGCTGAAAAACATCAATTGGCCGCAATGCATCAGCAAAGAGTTTTGGCCCACATCAACCAAAGGAAGAAGGAAGCTATGACTTGTTATACTCAAGCTTTAAATGAAAATCCACCAAATGTAGTATATGTGAATAATTTTTGTAGTACTGTGTTTATATTTGAATAATTTTCAGACCCATAGAGTCCAAAAATGCTTGCAAAAACTGCTGAGGTCTTTGCACAAAGACAGGGCACATGCGATTTCACATTATCGTCATTTGTTGGCAAGCAGCATTGAAGCTGCAGCTCGTGAACAACCCAGGGTGCTGGAACGCCTTACTGACATCGATAGAACAGTCAACCAGAGCATGCAAATGCTGAAAAGGTATCCAGAATTGGCTTCTAGGATTGGACAATTGATGGACGATTATATTCAAGGTAAGAATTATTATTATTGTTAGACAGATAAATAGATAGATAAGATATATGCAGGGGCGCCCGCAGAAAAATATGCAGGGGGGGTCAAAATCAATTAAATAAATTTTTTATGCGTAAAAAAGGGCACTTCAGTCTAAATTATCATTTTAGAAGCAGAATCAGAATTTTAAATGCAACATTTGCAAAGCAAAATTTAAAAAAAAAAGGCAGTTTGAAGAGACACAAACTAACACACTTGGACGAGAAGAATTTTAAATGCAACATATGCAATGCAAAATTTAAACAAAAATTTAAATTAGGAAAATTTAAACAAAAAGGTAATTTGAGAAGTCACATATCAACAGACTTCGATAGTTATCTTTTTGAATGTCACATCTGCAAAGCAAAATTCAAAGGAAAAGACTGTTTAAAGAGACACAAACTAACACAGTCTGATATTTATCCTTTTAAATGTGACACATGCAATGCAAAATTTGAATACAAACGTAGTTTGAGAAGCCACATATTAATACACTCGGATGAGGAGAATTTCAAATGTAACATTTGCAATGCAAAATTGAAAAGAGAGGCGATTTGAAGGAACACATATTGATACACTTGGATATTTAATTTTTTTTGAATGGGACATTTGCAAATCAAAATTTAAATGGAAACGCGATTTGAAGATACACAAACGAACACATTCGGGTATTTATCCATTTGAATGTGACACTTGCAAGGCAAAATTTGAAGAAAAGTAATTTACAAAGGCACATTTCAACACACTCGGATATTTATCCTTTTGAATGTGGCACTTGCAAATCAAAATTTAAATGGAAAGCCGATTTAAAGATTCACAAACTAACACATTCGGATATTTATCCATTTGAATGTGACACTTGCAATGCAAAATTTAAGCAAAAACATAATTTGAAAAGCCATATGTTAACACACAGATTGTTTATTATTTGATTCACTTAATAGCGACATGTGTTTAGCTCCGGGATCCTTGAACTCAGCCACAAAATTCACCAGTCCCGGAATAAGGAAAGGGTGACAATTTATCAATATGCAAATCGGTACACTGAGATATAGATATTAAATCAACTTATTTACTTCTTATAAATAGCTAAAATCTCAGGCATGGTAGAGGATGATCCAAAACTTAGGCTTAAGCATTGAATATAAAAAAAAAGATTCAGAAATCGGTAAATCGTTACATAATTGTTTTGGAATGATGTTTTTGGAGAATCAAGAAGTTAGCGATTTATTTGTTTTCGAGTTGTTAGCTATTCAGCCGAATCACGAAGTTCTAGTTAAATTTTCAGATTATCTCATCGACACATGGCACATGCCTCGATAGACCTGGATAAGACAACAAATGCCTGTGAATCTTTCTATAGTCATTTTGGTAGATCTTTTTATTTTGCGCATCAAAATACATATTTACACTTTTTTAGATTTATTAACTCATATGCAATGCAAAATCTGTCAACATCATAAGGTAAGTTTTATGGGAAGTAGGTTGGGTTTCATGATTTGGTCGAATTCAAAGGTAGGATTACTGCAGCTACCTGGTTTGTGGCCGAATTCAAGTATGCCCGTTTCGCTCATACGAGCATCATCGGACCTACAATATAATATATATAGAAAATAATTAAAATTTGAGAAATTTCCAGGGGGGGTCGAGTGACCCCCCCCCCCTGACCCTCCCTGTGGGCGCCCTTGGATATATGTCATATTCTTTGCATTTCTTAAATCTTCTTGAGTTTGTAATAACTAATTATACTGTTGATTCATTGAAATGTTTCAGCTTTACGCTCAAAAGACGAAACTCCAGGTTCCCTGTTGGCAATGACATCAGATGCTGAACAAGCAATCCTGGACAAATACAAGGCGGAAATCGCAACCAAACAAGCCGAGCGTGAAAGACAAAGATTACAAGAAAAAGAACGCAAAGAGCAAAGGAAAAAAGAGCGAACAGAACTCAAAGAAGAAAAAAAACGTGTCGAAGCTGCTTTGGGTAAAACAATCAGCAACATTGATGACAACATGGATGAGGACAACGTCTTGGATGACAAACCATCCACTCCAGTTTTTATGGGTTCTACAGCTGAAAGTACCGCAGCTGAAACTGTTGGCAACTATGTCACAGTGGTTAATCGCAAAGAAGTCGACGACGTGGCAGTGCAACAAGCTGTAGAAGAAGTTGCCAAAGCAGCGTCTCATCGTCAAGACGTCATTCGAGTCGCCCATATTATGTCGCACGAAATTGGACATAGTGAACCTGTAAGTTGAGCTTGAATTGTCTGTATTATGAGTTTTTATATTGATTTTCTAGAGTTTTTCTGTCCGGCGTGAAATTTACGGTCGCAAAGATGGAAGAAGCGTCTACTTTACTCTGGCTTTTGCCGGTATGGCTCTGATGGCTGCTATTGTGGTTGGTGTAGCTGTGGCTAAGCGTCGATCTGCAAGATCTCCACAAAGTCAAGGTAATTATCATCACAGAATGTTTGAACCCAAAGTATACCTTTAAGATCAAAGAAAGAATGTAAAATGATTACAAAACATCAAATGTCCGCATTTTGGAAGCCAGAGAAGCTATGGGTACGAAATTTTGTCCAATTGTAGATCTTGGTTGCGAGAGACACTTTAGTGATCACTGAGATAGGGCCTTGTTTTCCCTGTGGTTATGATAACTGAGATGGGGCCCTGTTTCCCCTGATGTGGCCTCCTTCCTCCCCTTATAGCCACCCCTATCCTCGCTACTGATCTGCAACTATTACTGATACTCTGAAACTGGCATGAATACTCTGCCTGCGATTCAGGTTGCCTGAATTATGTAGATCCTCTGCCTGGAATTGACACGCTTACTGACACCACATAAGACTGATACAGAGACAAACTACTCGAGAAGACTGATAATACAATCTGTCACTGACACTAATGTGAACCCTTTACCCTGTGCCTCTACCTGGTGGAATTCACGTGCCTAATATTGACACTTGATTTCTGAATCCTCTACCTGGGATTCACCTTGCCTGATATCGATACCTGAAGCCTCTATCTGGAATTCACCTGGCTTTTTTCCTAAAGTTTTGGAACCATCAGTATAGATGTTACTTATACCCTTGCCACTGTGTTGTTTCCAATGCCTTTCGTCTTGATTGCATAGTGCTTTTTGAAAACGAAACATGGTGTTACAGAGTCCTCTCTGGCCTCGAACAATGGAAGCGAGTTCGTTGCCTCACGCTATATGCAGTTTCTCTGCAAACCAACTTCTGCACTTGGTTCTAATTCAACTGTGCGGAGGCGCATCATTGTGGTTAAAACGACCTACTTGACATAAGTATCTAGGAACGTCAACCATAGAATTACTTCCAAAGCCCTAGTTGGTGTGGTTTTCATTGCACCAGTTATGTCATTCTTTGAACGTGATCTAGTTGTTGGCCTATAGTAGTCTGTTCGGCCTTATGTCCCTAGACAATAGTCCCATAGGCAAGTATAGGCCTGATGATGGTTGAATAGATCCACATAACTACCTTAAGGAAGAACCCCCAGGTCTTACCGATTGTACGTCTACACACTGTTCATAGGCGAAGGCGATATATGCTTCCATGTTATTTTCCAATCGAGTGTATCACTTCCAGATATTTGACCTCGGCTGCAAAACTCAGTTCGGTGTTTTAAGAGTCTGGGTGCTGTCGGAAGTTTCCACCAGTTTCCTCTCTCGTGTGAATAGGACCATTTTGGTCTTTTTGGGGTTTATGGACAGAGTATATTCCGTGCACCATCTTTCTATAATTCGAAGAGCATGTCGCATGCGTTCGTAGAGCGAGTTCTCGAATTTGCCTCTATGCAAGATGACTACGTCATCTGCGTAAGCTATTGTGTAGTGGTTCTCACTGTTTAGGTGGGCAATAAGGCTGTCGTCAAGAACCAAGGTTCCTAAAGTTAACAGATTGTCTGATAATGAGTAACTTGATGACGCATCTGGAGTGCTTTATGGAGATTTGCATTATGTTTTTCGGGACGCAAGTATAAATTCTCATTTCTTGTCTCCTTTTTTTGGCTTACTGACATTCCTACAGATAGTCTAAACTAGAGGTGGGTTGCGATTTCACGAACTGTGACTTTGTCACTGCTACTCGTCTGTCAGTTACGGCCTGCTTGAGTCCCAGTCAAGTAGCAGTGACACTTTGTCACTGCCCGCTTCAAGCTCCGACCAATACAGCGCGGACAAAACTCGAGCAGTGATGCATATAAAATAACTAGCTATTGCCCGCAGCATATGGTCATGTAACTCTTATTTTTGCAGCACCTCTCTGTAAACTACATTTTTTGTTCTGCTTTGTGGCTGCAGAATATGAAGACTATTTTTTGACAGCTGACGTTAAATTTTTTTGAAGTGCCACTCGCTGCTAATAGCTTTGTTCGCGGAGCATATTTTGAACCGATTCCGAACCAGTCCGGAACTAATTGAGGACTATCGTAGAGCGCATGCCCAGTTATAGTTGGGTTCGGCTTGCTCACTCCGAGTGATTCCGTTCGCACTTCAGCCGTTCGGGTATTACCTTTAAGCTTATCAGATAACGGCTGGAGTGCGATCGGAGTAAGTCGGAGTGAGCAACCCAAACCCAACTTGTGAATGGGTTCAGGTTCCTATTTTATCGCGAACAGTTTTGGAACCGAACAAAAACTCCAGAACCTTGCTCCAGACTGTCGAATACGTGAACGAATTGCGAATGTCATGTCTCAAACTTGAAGTTAGCTTAGCCTGGGACCGGTGGAATATGTTCAGAATCGGTTCCGAATCGTTTCTGGTGAAAGCATGAAAATATAACGACAAAAACACATTTTTTTTGCACTGATTCAGCAAATGGAAATCGCTATGAATTTGATTCTGCTTGTCATATTGCTGAATTTGACACGTCGTCTATTTCTGTTTACACTTTTTCCCCCGCACTCCCGCACCACACCGTTTTTTATTTTTGGTTATTTAAGGCGATTGCTTAAGGCCATGTTGATATTATTTCTTAGTGAGCATCTCCAACCTATTACCTACCTGTTTGCAAAATTTCATCTCGATTGGTTTAGTAGTTTTCGAGATTTCGTGTTTAATCAGTCAGTCAGTGAGTGAGTGAATTTCACGTTTATATATATATATATAGATATAATATTATAAATCGCATCGCGGTCACGCCAAATAGAAACTGCTACTCCAGAGGGCAGGCTGGAAACTGGAACATCTATCTCGGCCGTGACTGCGGATTATGTTGCGATGTAGCATTAACATAATATTAGCAGTACGGCCGGCAACGAAGGTAAAACTGCTCCAAAAAATCAATACTATTTGTCACAGTGACACGACTGGAGCAGTCACGTCTTGTCACAGCTCCATTAAAATCGCAGTTTGGCCCACCTCTAAAACACAGCATCGGCCCATAATGCATTTAGTACATTTTCGCAAGAAGGGTAGGATATACAGCTGTACATTCAACCGAGACATAAGGATTACCTGATGAAAGAAGTAATCCTGCTAGACTTGTCCTTATATGCAACCAGGACTAATTCTGACCAGGGTACATTCTAACTAACTCCTTTCGCGGATTTTAGCAGGGTAGAAGATATAACTTATCTATGTCCGTACATTCAACCAGAACATAAGGATGCGGTTATCTAGCTGGACTTGTCTGTACGTACAGCCGAGACTTGTCCTGATCAGTCCACCTCCTAATCTACTCCTTTAGAAACGGACGCGGTGCATCACGGATCTAGGCTGTGTCGCGTAGGGTGCTTGAATTGACAACATTTTCGGGCAATCAAAATACTAAAGTGGTTGGAATAAACCACACAGACTGAGTACAATAAGCAGATATCCAATACACGCTTACTTATCGCCGGACGCAGCTTACCGAAAATTTTTTGGGGGTGCCACGCCCAAATAAGTACCTACCCATAATAGGTTTACAATCAAAAAATCGATGTTAAGAAAACATCGATGTTTTTCTATCAATATTTTCTTAACATCGATATCAGCTTTCGATGTTTTCTGTGTATGTATGGGCATCCCTATAATCTGTCCAACCAACCTACAGAGTGACGAACATCAAAAGTCTCGTTTTGTTCTCGCCAAAGTGTGGTCGGGTTGGTTAAAGGAGCTCCGGGTGGTGCACTAGAGGCGTGTAGAGACCAAAGTTTCTAAGGCGCTTTTGTTGCGTAATCAACACGGGTTCAGTATAAGTCGGTTTATCTAACGGTTTGCCTCGGGCGCCACCCTCAGGATTAAAGTGGTTGAGGGCCCACGTGCACCAGGTAGCTTGTTACAGTGGAGAAACGGTAATCCAGGGGTCACAGACGCTCGCCCTGTAAAACTTTCTGAAAACCTTGGTTTGGGGAAAAAAATAGACAACAACAGTCGATAAATTTAAATAAATATAACACTCTGTATTACCGGAAAATATTTACAAGAAAAACCCTTAATTAACCCTGTGAAAGAATGAACGGGGATGCGTGAGAGAGAGATAATTAAATGGGTGGAAAATTATGTGCGTGCGGTAAAAGCGTGACCATGCGGGCGGTGAAAAGCGTGTCCGGAAAAAGTTAACGGCAGCGATAACGGAACGGTCAGCCCTCCGCTAGCTCCAAAAAGTTCTGATAACGTTAACGCTAACGGCAAATGTTAAATAGCAATAAAGCGGTAAAACAAACTCCGGTGACCCAAGCAAATGTACGGACACCACCTGCAACTACATAAGCGTCAGTTCTCGAATCATATATTGACCGGATTAGAGATACCATATAAGCTTCGGAGAAAAATACCTGTCCTGGGTTCCAGGCGAAAATCTCTCATACAGAACTACCCGTCCAGGGTACCGGGCGAAGTTCTAAGAGCAATAGAGACTACCCCTATTGCAGGAAAAGATTTACCCGTCCAAAGTACCGGGCGAAAATCTTTTAGTGAAGCTTATATAATTGATTTTTACCTTCTGGTTTAATTCGCGGCCCTACAAGAACTGACCCCTATTATTGTGGTTACGGCGGGTTGACTTACCTCGGACGGTTCAGGTGGTGATTCTGCTAACACTGCTGTCAGGTCGACTAGCTTTTCGGAGACCGGTGGAAGACTGTCGTTAAGCAGCAAATTTTGCCCAATTTATAACCAAAAATATGGGTCAGGGACGCGGCAGAGTAAACGAAAATATGCAAATTAGCTGATACCGGTCGAAATTCTTGCTGGGATCTGTAGATTCCAGCCGAGGTCATGCGAAATCATGATAATGTATTTAATATTTACGAATAATATAAAGAGGATTTTAATTAATACCGCCCTGAATTTATAAAATTAAGTCACGCAATTAATAATTCGAAGCGGGAGGCGTACTTATTTTATGAAAAATACTGAAACTTTGTTACAAGTTGGGCTCACCTGCGCGAGTTGGTCTTTTTAACTAAGCCGGCTTAAGATACGGTTAGGGCAAAGCGCGACGCA